CCAGCTCGCCAAAGACCGTCTGCTACTACGAGTACTGGGTGCACTGGAGGACGGGTGATGGAAAGCAGGATCCCAGTGAAATTGGTAAGTTCAAGTGCAAACAAAATTGATCATTAGTGACCTTAAACATCTTTTCCACTAGACTACACACTATGCACGCACATCGTCTACTCGTACATGGGCATTGACGGCGGAACGCACGAGATCAAACTGCTCGACCCTTATCTGATGAATGATCTGCGTAAGTAGTAAGAGGAGTACCTTAATAAATTCAATTAAAAATAATCCCTTTTTTACAAAACACAGACGACATCGACAAGTTCGCCAAGGCCAAGGGCAACTCCAAGGCGCTCGTCTCGGTGGGCGGCGCCGCCGCAAGCAGCCAATTCTCCATCACCGTCTCCGTGGACTCCTACCGAACGGCCTTCGTCAACTCGGTGGTCAGTTTCATCAGCAGCCACAACTTCGACGGCGTCATCCTCGACTGGAGCGGCATGACCGCCTCCGACAACGCCCACTTCATCGCACTGCTCGACAAGTTCGACGAGAAGCTGGCCAATACGCCGTACACGCTGGCCGTCACTGTGCCCGCCTCTCTGAACACCGCCGCCTACAACGTGCCCAAGATCGCCCAGTACGTCGACTTTATAAACGTCATTGCGCACGACTACGCCGGCCCGTGGAGCAAACAGGTGGGCCACGCCTCACTTCTGAGCCACGCCCTCTCGACGATGGAGGCATACCACAAGGCCGGTGCTCCTCGCTCAAAGTTGGTCATGTCGGTGCCCGCCTTTGCCCGCACATGGCGACTGGCAAACCCAGCAAAGCAGGACATCGGAGATGAGGCGCTGGGCGGCGGCGAGAAGGGCCCCTACACCCAAGTAGAAGGCCTTCTTAGCTACAACGAACTCTGTGTGTTGATGCGGGCTCATGTGAGCCAGTTTTCGCTGGTGCGGGACCCGGCGGAGCACGCCGTCTACGCCGTGTACCTCCGAGACTCGGGCCACGCCGAGTGGCTCAGCTTCGAGGACAGCAAGTCGCTGGCCTTCAAGGCGGACAATGTGACGCGGTCCGGCTACGCCGGCCTCTCCGTCTACTCCATCTCCAATGAGGACGTCCACGGGGTGTGCGGCACGAAGAACCCCCTCCTGCACGCCATCAACGCCCACTACTGGCGAGGGGCGGTCACCGAGGGGCCGACGCCGCCGAATCACTTCACCCCCGGGCCGACAGAGGCGCCGGTGACCTTTCCGCCGAAGGTCTTTCACTGCACAAAGCAGGGCAAATTCCGCGACCCGGTGTACTGCTTCAAGTACTACGACTGCGAGAAGGGCGAGTTTGGCGGCTTCGAGTCTACGGTCTTCTACTGTGAACGGCACCAGGCCTGGGATGAACATGCGCAGAAGTGCGTCGATGCAAAAACGGTGCCCGGCTGCTGAAAAAGGGGGAGTTCGAAATGTATCATTTTTTGTTGTTGTTGTTTGAAAAGTAAAATTCTAGAGCACTACACGACCGGAAGGCAAAAAGTACAGTGGCTGCTCTTTTGGGCTAATCTAATTGCCACCCTTCAATTGACCACTTCAAAGAAAGTGTGTTCAGTGAGGTGCTCACTGTGTGGTAATTGCACAGTCTGTGCGCACACACATTTTTCAACCTAGATGCATTGACAATGAGCAGCAGCAGAAACAGCAGAAGCAGCTCAAAATCTGCTGGTCAAGTGCGCATAAATCAACCACATGTCTATAAATATCGGGCAGGGAGCAGGTACTACTACTACCGATCAAGCAGCACTACTAATTAGCCACTAAGCTCATTCCTGTTGCTGCTCCCCTTGCATTAATTGAGTCATTTGTTGGAGGAGCGAGGTATCGATAAAAAGAGAGTAAAGAAGGCTAAATTGCCAATGATTAGGCCAAGTGCTTCTCCTGTTTTGTTTTGAACGCCAAAAAGAGGGAGTGCTCGAGGATTAGGAGTCGGTAACTTGGCGGTTCAGTTCANCCAAGTGCTTCTCCTGTTTTGTTTTGAACGCCAAAAAGAGGGAGTGCTCGTGTGGATTAGGAGTCGGTAATTCGGCGGTTCAGTTCTCTTCAGTTTAGTTACTAGTGATGAGAAGTTGGTAGTAGGTCAGTGGCGGTGGCAAAGAAGAGGTATGAGGACAAAGAAAGTGCGCCTTCTCCGTTTGAAGAAGAAGCAAAAAGCGATAATTAGGCGTAGAAGGGACTACAAAACACGAAACAAACAAACTGTGTGCTCAGTGAAAGCTAAACAGAGAGTGAAGTTTGCCATTTTAAACTTAAATCAAACAAACACGAGTACATTCTCATTGCCTGTCATGAATTGCTATTTATAGAAAAGAGCGCTAGTTTGTGTGTTCAATCATCACCGGTGATGGTCCGATTGTCCGATTGTCCCATTGACTGACAGCGTGGAGTGATGACAGTTGTCAAATAGACAACTGCAGCAAAACAAGCATCCTCAAACTGAACTAAACTAATGTCAAAGAGTGGCCAAAGATAGGTACAACCACAACAGTTGACTGAAAAAGAAGTGACAACCGTTTTTGGGCGGCAAATTGGAGGAAAAGAAGGAGAAAGAGGAGAAGGAGGAGTAGCTGCAAACATCCTAATCATGGGAACACGACGACCAACCGATGATGAGGAGGTTGCGCACAGAAGGAGGATGCTCTCTCTCTTTTGCACAAACTGCAAATGGATCGATTTGTCGCAGTTCACTACCACCACCACTACTGTTTCATCATCATCATCATCACCGACTTCATCGACATCATCGACATGAACATCGACGTTTTGCAGAGCACACACAGCGATCGAAACACACCGGCACATCTGTTTGCAGCCTATCTAACTCTGCTACTGAATTGCGCTCTCACTGCCAAGGACTACCAAACAACCTGTTGCTGCTGCTGTTGCTGCTCTATTAAGGTCATCACTGGAAGGGCTCTACACTGCAGTGAAGATGGTGGCGCCTAATTTGATTTGTAGACGCCGTTCGATCGATACAACATCAGCAGCAGCAGTCAATCGGTATTTATAGCCGGCAGAGTGGGGACAATCGACAATCGACACACTGACTGAGATTGCTACCGGACTGCACAACTTGGGCGATGTCTGACGGACGAAGAGGACGACAGAAAAAATGCACAACGACGAGGATTGTTGGCCCACTGGCGGATACAGGAGGCACGGGAGGAAAAAGAGGATGCGGACAGAGAGAGCTAAGTGTGTGTGTGCTTACCACTGAACATCTGTTGCAACAGCAACTCACACT